GAAAAACCCAAATGAAATCAATCTCATCTTCCCAATAATGCAACAGAAGTTGTGCCACATCGGTTACAGCGACGAATCCAGCTTGTATTTGCAGTCTAGCGATTGGCAATGCTAAACATTTTCACTAAAACATTTGGAGAGACCTAACTACAAACATCACGACACATGTCAGTCAGATATGAGATTTGACCAATTACAAAAAGCAATCGAGATGAGATGACCACGATGTATCATGCAGCAAAATGTCAATAGAGAGCACTTTCTCCAAATCGCTATTTACAATCTCTGGTTGAGTGCACCTCAACGCAACTTAATGATTAAACTAGTGTTTTGAGTCGTTAAAAGCTAAAAATATTAAGGAATGTTTTCTGATGCAAGACCGTGAAGGTGGTGTTCTACGTTCTTAGCGGAGACCTCAACGCACTTCCGCTCGCTGTAGTCATGCCCACTTAACTCACACCAACGGCGATGCCACACCAAAGCTCGAACTGGGCAGTGGGAGCAACAAAACCAGAGCGTTAATATTTGGGTCTTTTCGGAGTGATGATGCTAATGCAAAAGCAGCCGATTTCACTGATCCAAACGGTTTAGTATAGTGGTAGGCTAAATACAGCCCATGGCACATTCTCATCCAGTTTTTCGTCAGTTTCATCACAATGATGGCCCTCATATAACAGAGGTTAAACAACCAGAAGTGGACAATTTTGAACAATATATCAAAAACAAATGCGTTTCTTGTAAAAACGCTTATTATCCACTGGTATATGGAAAATCGTGGCGTTTAAACAAACCCAAAAATGTAAAGAGAAACAGCAATTGAGAAACAGAACTGAAAACCCTCTGATAACGTTTTTAGAGGCAACCAAACACCCACCACTTGTCTACTGCTTGGATGCTTCGGTGCTGTCTCAAAGTGCCCATGGCATTGACTCCCTCCTAGACATTTAAAATATGTTCCAGACCCGTAAAGTTATGGCACCGGGTAAGAGTGGGCAGTTTCTGCTTCCTTCATATGTCGTAAGAAGTGACTACTCTCTCCATTCGTTTTGCACACGTTTCATTTCTCTATTATAATGAACTGAAAACTCCTCCTTAAACCTTAATCCTAAGTTCGGGAAACCATCGCAACGAAAAATGATAAGTAAATCCCATCCAACAGACCACAATTTGTTTCGTTTCTTTTATGGGTTGCGTTTTAGGCCGAATCTTACCCCTTTTATAGATATTGCTAACTTGTAAACGAGAAATACAGGAAAGTACATACTGAGAATTAGGAGAGGAATGGGCAATGAGCCAGCGAGAGAATTCGACAAGAAAGTATTACTCTGAAAAGTATGGGGAATATTCTAAACGGGGCAATATAACTTACCAAATTTGGATAAGGATTAGAGGATTTTCCTTATTGGTGAAGAAGGTATTCAGGTCTGCCCTATACATTCACTTGGTATTGCCATGACGGCGCTATCAAATACGGGTAACAGAAAACTCACTGTCGTTGGTTTCCCCAATTCCTCAAACAGATTATCGATAATTGACATGTTCTGACGTTGGCATTATCCACAACTCCGAGCGGTTCCTTTAATGACTTTGCGGTTGGGAGACTTTGGATAACGTGCAGTACTCTACAAGAACAAGTTCACCCAGTCTGACACTTCGCGTGGGTACTCAGAGGGCGAAATATACATCACCTTCAATTCCCAAATAAGTGTTTGCCTGATTTGTAAGCAACCTCATTATCAGTGCAGGGATATTGTACTATATTGGTGAGAGAGACAGAACAAGGGAATTAATGTGGCAGAAGTGGCACCACAACATCATTGCCACCAGTGTCATGATTACACTGCGAGACACCGCAAGGGAATGCAGTCTAAATTACTCTTCGTATAACGATGCATCCGTCTCCAACACGGTCGCCTTTTCACTCCTTTTCTTTCCTTTTTCCAGCACAAATTTCTGCTAACCAACCGGATGGGAAGTGGTTTGTGCTCAGGTAAGGAAGTCTTTCCTCACTACTTTGTTGACACACAAATTGCACATGGCAGCCATAACAGGGGGAGAGGTGTGAAGGCACAATCTACAATGCCCTATTTGATGCCTTATTTTGCCTCCAACAGACTTGATGATTTACTCCTAATTTCCCTTCTCCTCTTCTTGCTCTTTTTCTTTATTCATTTTCATCTTCAATCCCATTGTTCCGTCAGGCAATGATTGGAGGAAACTTTTTCAACATTCTAACATGGAAACTTACGAAAGTTTTGTATTTGTAATTGTCTTGACACTTTTCGGTTCCAAATAACAACATATGGCAATGCCACTGCATCATCAGTCAACACCCTCCTCAATCGTCTAACCTTGCCTAAACGCGTCTAAAAAACAAAATGGAGTGTTAGCGAATTCATCTTTTTACCTTTCATGTATCTGTGAGACGATGCAAGTTTTCGCCTGTGTCGAACGTATCTGTTGGGTTTGTTGATAAGTATGCATTTGCTAAAAAGAATACAGGGGTGTTTTTGTCTAGGAAATGGCTAATTCAGTTGCCTCTGTCGAATCCTAATGGTGTACAATTAAGAATGATATTTACATAAATTGGGTCTCGATGGCGATTTTTACGATCTCTGCACCTGTTGAGTAACAAGGAGAAGAAGTGAGACCTCTTGCCTTGGATGCGGTAGTTGCAAGGAGTCGGTAGCCGTCCACAATCGACGAAGTCCCTCACAATTGTGTTGCCCATTCCATGATCCATGCTTAGGAATAGGGTAGTGGTGTCACTGCTGGTAGCAGTGTACCGAAAACCGGAAGTTAGCTTATCCACCTAGCACCCTCTCGATCCCTGCCACGATGGTAGAGGCATGTGTTCAGACTGCTCTAGTTGCTTGCAAATATACGCCAAGAGTGGGTAGTCCTTTTCTTCGTTTTGGTAGTTTCCTTGGAGTGTATGAGTTTTCTTCATTGTTCTTCGTGGTGTCAGATTTGCCTTTCTTTTAACCGGTAAGGCGGTCTCTCGCTGTTTTTGCGTCTTTGGAAGTGCGCGGCACTCTGAACAGAATGCATTGCAATGACTGCCAGGCGTCTTGTGG